TCTTGGTTCTTGGGCGTCGGGGTCCCCAAGGGGAGAATACCCGAATTGGGTATCTTTCAAGAACAAAGCTTTGGGGAAGCGGCTAAGAATTCCTCGAACCCAGTAAAGGTGCTGGGCAAGCAGGCATCACTAAGAGAGAATAAGAAAAAATTGTCCTGAAAGAATGCTGTAAGTGGAGAGGAACACGGCCTGTCTATCCCCATAGCTGAAATTGGTGAGGAAATGTAAGGCTCGAGTGAGATGTTAAGACCGAGTAGGTAGCTCCTCTGTCCAAAAGAAAAGCAATAGATGTACCCACTACCTGCAGCTTTACCTTAGGCCCAAGTGAGAAGTCAGAACAAAATGGGTAGCTCCCATGTCCAATAGAAAAGTAATGGACTTACCCGCTACTTGCAGCCTTACCCTAGGCTCGAATAGGGTTATGGGATAAACCAAGTCTGGGCAGTGTCAATCCTCTGCGAGGCTGAGAAGTTTGAGGGCTGGCACAGTTTCACTTGCCAATGTTGGTGAGGCTGGACCTCCATGGTGTGGCATAGAGGACCAGACTGCATGGGGGCATTGGGATTTCTAGTGTCCAGTTTGCTGGCAGATAGGGCATAACCTTGTAAGAGGCATAGTGCAATATCGTGCCACATGACCATTTAGGCCACACTTGAAACAGCTTGGCTGTGTGGTTGACTTAGGCTGGGCTCCACCAGGGTAGAGTCTTGTGGTTGACTTCTTTTGTCCCCTTTCCTGTGACCTTAGGGCAGCTGCTAAGGCCTGGGTCTGTAGGTTAGCTGCCTGCTCTAGCCATGTAAAGACCAATTTATTTATTTATTTATTTATTTTTACCAATTTTCGTACAGGGGTTTAAAGACCCTCCTCAACCTTTCTTAACTCTAAGCAGAAGGACTAGTAGAAAAGGAACCTAGCTGCTTTTCTTTCTGAGAGAGATCTGGTAGAGAAAAGGGAGCATGAATTTTAATAATGCCATTCACTCCTGCCACCTCCCTTAGAGGACATAGAAGGGCAGAGCTATGGTGGGATCTGGTGTGGGAAGAGACTGGAGAGGACTGGGAGGGGCTAGTCCAGTGTGCAAAGAGGGTCCAGGGGTGGAGAGATGAGGTAGGAAGGGGAGGGGATGGTGGAGATGGTGGAGATGGTAGAAGTTGACCTGGAACCTCCAGATTGGGAAGGGAGGGGTAGACAGGGAATGAGAGGAATGTGAAGAATGCTGTTCTGCAGGAGGGAACTGGGTAGTGTGGGCTTGAGGGCATGGGGGAGGGGCCAGTGCCTCTGGCTACTAAGGGAGGGGCGAGAGTGGAAAGCCCAAAAATACCATGGACATATGTAAGTTCTGTCCATTTGTCTTTACAGCAGCAAAAATTTTCAAGGTCCCAGAGGATGGTTGAGGCCAAATCTTATTGCTTAGAAGAATTAGCCGTTTGGGACAGATGGTATCAGACAGTCTCAATTTAAAAAGATTTTGTAAGAGGCGTCCCAGGGAAGACAGTGGATCTGGCATTGAACTGCAAGTGCCCATTTTAAATTCTATACCCCACCAATAGCCTAAGTCTATTATAGAACATCTGCTAAAATAGCTCTCAGGCCCAATGGGGTTGTGGAAATGGAATGCTTGGCATCCCAAAGCAAACAAATCCCCATCTCAGCCAAGCCTAGTCTTGCTGGTCTGGCCACTGCTAAGATCAAACTCTTGGCATGAGCTTGTGATTTCTACAAGAGTCCAATAATCGACAAAAGTAAGTATGAATGGGTCCCCTCGATTACAATGATATATTTTCGCATGTTGAACCAGCCCTACATTCCTGGGATGAAGTCTACTTGATAATGATGGATGATATTTTTTTTTTTTTGATGTGTTCTTGGATTTGGTTTGCCATTGCGAATTTTTTCGAGTGAGATTGGTCTGTAATTCTCTTTCTTGGTTGAGTCTTTGTGCAGTTTTAGTATCAGAAAGATACTTTTTAGTATCAAAAAGATGAATATGACCCTTCATCTGACGATGGATGGAGATAATGACAGAGACCCACATTGGAGCACTGGACTGAGCTCTCAAGGTCCAAATGAGGAGCAAAAGGAGGGAGAACATGAGCAAGGAAGTCAGGACCATGAGGGGTGCTCCCACACATTGAGACAGGTGGGGCTGATCTAATGGGAGCTCACCAAGGCCAGCTAGACTGGGACTGATGGAGCATGAGATCAAACCAGACTCTCTGATTGAGGAGTACAATGAGGGCTGACTGAGAAGCCAAGGAAAATGGCACTGGGTTTTGATCCTACTGCATGTACTGGCTTTGCGAGAGCCTAGATGGTTTGGATGCTCACCTTCATAGACCTGGATGGAAGGGGGAGGACCTTGGACTGCCCTCAGGACAGGGAACCCTGACTGCTCTTTGGATTGGAGAGAGAGGGGGAGTGGGAGGGGAGGGGCAATGATATGGGAGGAGGGGAGGAAGTAGAAATTTTTAATAAAAAAAAAGGAAAAAATAAAAAAATAATTTCAAGATTCCCCCAACCCCCCAAAAAAGAGAAGAGGTAATGTGGGAGTTCCCTCTTTGTGCTGTTATTACCATTAATGAATAAAGAAACTGCCTTGGCCTGTTGATAGGGCAGAACTTAGGTAGGCAGAGAAGACAGTACTGAATGCTGGGAGAAGAAAAGAGTCAGAGAAATGCCATGGATCCACTGCCAGAGATGTGATAAAACTTTGCTGGTAGACCACAATGTTGTGGTGATACAGAGATCAATGGAGATGGGTTAAATTAAGATGTAAGAGTTAGTCAATGAAAAGTTAGAGCTAAAGGGCCAAGCAGTGATTTAATGAATATAGTTTCCATGTAGTTATTTAGGTTCTGGGTGGTCGGGACAAATAAGCACCTCCCTCCTGCAGTTGGGAGTTGATGCTTCGGAATGGGGAGAGGCTAGGTATTTGAAAATGGTCACAGGATGAATCTGAGCAGAGTGTTCAACTAGGATCTGCTTATCTCCTCAGAATATGAGAAGACATTGGAAAGCATTCACCTCAGAGGTTCTGCTACAGAGGTGGGGATGACACTGGAAGAATTTGGTCTGGAGGGGTAGAAAGATAGGTGTGAATCAACCTTCCGGCGTAATTGTTGTCTTGGAAGGAAAGGTCCTTGGATTAATAGGGTGTGTCTGCTGGCACTGGAGACTGGAACAAATCAATGAGTGGAGGGAGGGTAGTTAGAATGGGAAGTTCTGTAGGATTCACTGGAGATAGAAACAGCAGGCAGTAAAGTCTGTCACAGGTGTTCTGCAGAAGAACTGGAAATGAGACCAGGAATTGGATCTAGGAGAGCAAAAGGAGGAGAGAAGTTCTGCAGGCAGCCTACCTGATTTCCTCACAGGCATGGCTTCTGGGCTAACATGGGTGCCTGCTATAGCTAGGGGCTGGAAGCTGGGGGGAAACATGTGGGATTCACAGGAGATGTAGGCAGAGAGTAAATAATGCTGAAACCAGTACTCTATTGCAAAGCCAGAGATGAGGCTGAGGGACTGCATTGGAGGGGAGTAGAGAGTGGTGAAGATCTTCAGTTGACTTGCCTGTTTCCCTGGAGTGTTTAAATCACTGGAGTGTTCATAAGGATACTGTCCATTAACTTTTAACTTAGTTTCAGACAAGTTCTTAGGGCAAGAGTAGAAGACAGACGTAGCATTTGCCAAAATATCACAGGGGTGGCCTCTAACCGGGTTACTGTTAAAGTCCTTGCTTCCCTCTGAAACATCTCCAGCAATGTCTCTCTCTATAGTCTTGCTTGCTTTTAGCACTGTCTTCCCCGGTTCCCACTGGGATAGCCAATTAGCCCCTGCTTACAGTTTTCAACCATTTTTCTGTTCCAAAATCATGAAATCTTCCACATTCCTCTAAAAAGGCAGCATGATCAGGCTTGTCACAGCAATATCCCACTCCTGGTACTGACTTCTATATAATTTACTTTTCTATTGCTATGACAAAACGCCGCTACTAAGGTACGTTACATAATAAGTAGTTTATTTGCTTTTAAAGTTCCAGAGGATTAGTCCATGGTGGCAGAGTGAAGGCATGATAGCAGGAAAAGAAAGCTGGCAGCTTATATCTTGAATTACAGGAACAAGAGAAAAGAGTTGTTTTGTGGCAAGACTTGTCCTGGGAGATACAGCATACATGTATACTCACTCTCAATAGCGAGTCATGACAGACAAAAGTATGGATACCACTAAAGTCCAATTTGGTGAACCAATGAGTTTTATTGAGGTTATTTACAAGAGCAGAAATGACGCCACCATGGGTGACAATTCACAAAGGGCACATTTCAGAGCTTTCAGGCAAGCTGGACATATTGGAGAATGTCTTTCCCAGGTGATTCCAGTCTAAACCTCTTCTAGGCAGCTCTGTTGTTTCTTTATTCTTCCAGGAAGCAGATCTGGTCTCGGATTCTTCTTTGCAGCTTACCTTGTCTAAGAGTAACTCACAACAGCTCTTCTTGTTAACTCTTAGAAAAAAAGGGGACCTAGTAAATCTTGTTAGTTTCAGAACCTTTCAGGGGTTATTTTGAATTGTTTGCCCTCTGGCTTAAGAAGATTCCCTGCAGAATGGAATATTTCAATCTTGTAGAAAATGAACACACAAGAGTGAGCTAGAAATGATGAGCCTTAAGACTTCAAAGCCTAGCCCAGACACACAATTCTTCTGACAAGACCACATGCCCTAAGTCTCTCCAAACAGCATCACCAGATGAGGACCAAGCATTCAAATGCCTGAGACTTTGACGGTCATCTTATTCAAGTCACCATTCTGTTCTTACTTAATGGGTGTAGAGTCCTCTTCACAGATCTCTTTGACATTTTCCCTGCACCCAAATATGTTGTTCTCTTCAGGGTATGCAACAGTGCTCAAACACTTGTACCACAAATTTACTTCCATGATTTCCTCTACTTGTTAGATTCACCTTCAAGCCTCTACCACATTAAGAGATGCACCATTCTCTCTGGTTCACCTCCATCCTGAATCTTGATGAGTTCTCTGACTGTTTTGTGCCTCAAAAAGTAGAATCCCAAGAACAACCAGAACCAAGCCAGCCACAGCCATCCTGATGAGATTCTCCACTGTATGATCTTGTGAGTGTGAATCTGGGAATTTGGACAAATACCACAATAAAATCAGTACAGTTCCAAATTGAAAAGCAAGTGAAATAAGCAACTATATCAGTAAGAAAAAATAATGTACAGTAATCAATAGCTTTTAATGTGTATTTATTATTTAGTAAATATAAGGCCATGAAAATATTTATGTTCTAGTTATTAAGTTAATTGAATAATTCATTGAGATTTACATGATTATATCCAACTTTCATCAACAATGTAAAATATTTTATACTTTATTAATATACAGCATATTTATTAATAATATGCAGCATAGACTGAGAACATAGTTCAGTCATGAAAGTGATTACTGCACAGTCATGAAAAGTAGACTACTTGTGGTTCAATGATGTAGGTGGGCCTTTTGTTATGTGTTATTTTTATTGGTTAATAAAGAGACTGCCTTGGCCCTCTGACAGGACAGAAAATTAGGTAGGCGGAGTAAACAGAACAGAATGCTGAGAAGAAGGCAATGAATCAGACGCCATGGAGCCAGCCAGCAAGTCAGACATGCTGAATCTTTTCCGGTAAGCCACCACCTCGTGGTGCTACACAGATTATTAGAAATGGGTTAATCAAGATGTGAGAGTTAGCCAGTAACTAACTCTCTAGAGATAATGGGCCAGGCAGTATTTAAATAAATACAATTTGTGTGCTATTATTTCCGGGGCTAAGCTAGCCATGCGGCAGCCAGACAGGATGAAAAGCAGGCCTGCCCGCAGCCCCTCACTACAGTTCAAGGTTTAAGTAGAGAGAGCAGTTGGCAAAGAGGTTAATCAACACTAAGGATATATTTTGAAATCCTAATGAAATCCATTTCAACTCCCTTTTAAATATATCTAGTTTGTATATATCTAAAAGGGAGTTGAAACAGAAGCATCCTGTATGGGTTGACAATGTTGCTTCCAGAAAGTATTGGTTAATAAGTGAAAATATTATTGCCAGGTTCAGAATACTTCCTTATGTGTTATTCATCAGCAATACCCAAAACAATACAGGAACCATTTCTCTTAGTTGTCTATTATAACTAGATTGTATTTGCCTCTTGCTAAAGATACCATTAATTTGTGTGGCAGTTCAAATAGAATGCAACCTCAAACTGACTATGAAGTTCTCTCCCTTAGATACTTCCATAAAGTGTTATGCAGGCTTCAGGGTAAGAAATAACATGAATGGTCTGTTTTATCTAGCTCTGAACCCTGCATGTTATAATAGCCATCTTTGGTAAAATTGCTTGCTAGTATTGACATAAGGCCTGATCCACAAGAAGAATTCTATGCATTGTACTGTAAACATGGACAAAGGTCCATGGCTAGGGAGATCATAAGCCCTAGGTATGGGGAACTCACTCTTGTTTTGCTAAATGGTCATACTGTCAAACTACATTCTAAGTGTATATATTCATATGCACATATTTGTGCTACTCTCAACTCTGGTGGGAAACATCTTTCTTCAGTGGGTAGTGATAAATGTAGAGACTCCTAACTGTTCAAAGTGTCTATTTTAACTGTGAGTGCTCAGCTCTGGATTGGATATTAATATCAGCTCCTCACAGCCAACACTCAGTGAGCATCATGGAAAGGGGGTGGAAGGAATACATAAAAGATAGCCGTGAAATGCTGATTCTGGTATTGCATGAACTGTTGGCCATTTCAACTCAGAGAAACTGTAGTTCCCTACATAAGATCTGTAAAAACTTAATCCAGTTAAAAATCCAGACTATAAGAGGAAGGGACCCCCAAAGCTTCACCCCTATCTGAAGATCTGTGGGCATTGTGAGCATCTGTGGCTGCTGGGGTGAGAGAGTCAATCTCCTTTGTAGATGTGAACACTGAAAGGTTGATCAAACCCTAGTGGATGATCCACATACATCCACATATGGGAGATTAATAATAAGTTTTTAAGGAGGATATTAAATTAAAAGGCCGATGAGATGAAAAAACTAGGGAGAGTTGGAAGGAGGTACTAGTAGTAGTAGTAGAATAATATGATTAAAATACATTCTATAAATGCCTGAAAGTTTCAAGAATAAACAAGACTTACATGAGATCAAGCCAGTCAAAACCCTGGCACAGATGGGTAGATCATATCTAAGTCCCTTGCCTTATTACTGATGGTTTATTGGCAGTTGGAGGGAGAACATTCTCCTTTGAATATATGGCAGTAGTAGATTTTTCCATGCTCTCATGGACCCACACATATGCACATATAGGCAGCACTAACTGAACTAGGAAACTATAAAAGAGATGTCAAATTAGGAGAGGGGTGTATGAGGAGAGTTGGAGGGGCAAAGTATGTGAGTAAATAGATCACATTTCACCTTTTACGAGTATGAGACTACAAAAATAAATAAAAATGATCAGATACTATTTAAAAAGAACCCTGCAAAACAAAGACTGTCTGTAAAAACAGAAAACAAAATCTGTGTGTTGGCCCTTGTGATTCCAGGACCAGGGAAGGAGAGACAGTCTGATCCCTGACAGTCACTGGCTAACTAATCCTGTCTACTCAGCATGTTCCACATATGGGTGAATTCCTGTCTTTAAAGCCCAGGTGTATTTTTCTGTCTTTTTTATATAACTCCACACTAGACATGCCGCCTCTGCCTATTGTTTTCATTCATTTATACTTATAAAACTCTTGTATTTCAGTCTTTCATCTTCCTGGGACCTCACCCTTCAAGCTTGTGATGACAATTCAGGCTCCCCAGCATGGTCTTTGTAGAATATGAGTCTCTTAAAGGACCAAGGATCCTCACTTGTGTTTAGGATATCCAAAGGCCATTTGTAAATGGCGACATGGAGGACACAGTATATATGTAGCTTGTATACTGACAAATGTAGAAGCTGCTTACAGGGGACCAATGTGACATTAGCCTGAGAGAATTAAGCCTGGGATTCAGGTCAGTTCAGGATGGGATGCAGGGCTTCCCTTCATTGGATACAACAAATCTATTTTAGTGAGTGTCACCATGACATTGGAGGATCATAGACTCTCTAAGTACCTAGACATGGTCCTGCTCTAGACATGGTCCTGCTGTATCAAAACGGAGGAGTTCCTAGATGGTCTCAGAGAAAACATGGAACAGGTATTAATGGCATAGCTCATACCAAACACCTTCCACTCTCACCCATGTTTTCTTGCAACTCTTGTTGTTTCTCTACATCAAGACCCCTAAACATCCCTCAACTGTTTCTCAGCTATATTGTACTCCATTAGAACAGAGCTCATGCAAAGAATTTATGGGCTTCAAATAAATGTCAAAGATGAGATTGCTTTACCTGCAAGGTGGAGTTGCAGGGTCTCACTGGGCATTGACCACATCTGGGAGGTTCTCTCATAGTATCCATAGCATCTGAAGGCCCATCTGTGTTTGGAAGTCACTGGCCCCACAGGAAACAAGGCCACAAAATGTCCATTGGGTTCTTTCTGGGAATCCTGAGTCCAGGACACATTCTGTTCTCCTTCCTTAGTAAGGATGTATCTTCCATATCCCTGATGTGAGCTACACTGGAGGGTGACTTTCCCTCCTGAGGTCACCAGGGAGCTTGGCAGGGCTGAGATGTTGGGTTTGCTGTAGAACCCTAAAAGAGAAGACAAACATGTTGACTGGGAAATGCCTTCAACATTGTCTAAAGACTGGGGTGTGAGAGGATTTCCTGAGAACAAATTCCCTTACTCATGGCATAACCTGAATTTGGGACTCTTGAGATTGCTCTTACCTGTGACCACAAGCTCTAGGATGTCACTGCATTCAGACAAACCAGAAGGGCTGTGATAGCAGCAGTAGTATAGTCCTGCATGATATTCTGTGATAACTGGAATGGAAAAGTTGGCCTTGTTCCCAGGCTCCAGTGAGGTCTGTATCGTCAAGGGTTTTAAGCTTCCCTTTTTATAGAGATAGTACTTCTGGACTTCCTGGGTGCCAAAACAGAAGATAGCAACAGACAGTCCCTTGGTGATCACAGATTCTGGTTCAGCCCAGATGGTAGGTTTTGGGAATTTTTCTGTAAGAAAATGAAATGCTATATCTCAGGGTATTCCTTTCCTATATTCTACCTCTGAGCTCCACTCTCCTTGAAGCATCCCCCAAATCAACCCACATTTGTTGTTGTCATCTGATTTCTATGTGGAAACAGCATTTGACAAGGCGGGGAGATTGACTCACCTGCCGCCGCCATGCTTCTGGGTTCCAGACTCAGTCCTGAAAGAGATTTCTCTGTGAGATTTTCTCCCTGAAGTTTGAGGAAATCCTCTCCTCTTCAAAGCCACTCAAGACCACTGGATCTCCTGATAAGTTAGAGCTTGGTTATAGCCTGAAGTCCCTCCCAGACTTGGGTACTCCCTCCATTCTTCAAATCTCACCAAGATGAAACAACACTGCAAAAGTGAAGATCATGATGTCTCATTCCAGGAGTCCCAGCTGTGCAGACGAATGAGACTGCAGTGACTGTCAGGACAGATCAAAACAGAAGGTAACCACTAAGACACTGTGTTCTAGATTATGGGCTGTCACATCAAGAAGAGGAAGTGCTATGCAACTGACTCACTGGTGGAATGTTTAGATAACAAAAGAAAAGTTCTGAATTGCTTCTACAGCATTGGAAATGAAAATAAGAGGAAGTGTCGTCCTCAAGAGTGAGTATGCTATTTTCACCAGACTATGGCTAAGCTGGGCATAAGGTCTTTTGATGACACTAGAGAGAGTAACAGGGCCTTGACCAGCTCCAGTTCTCTTCCTCTTTAATTCCAGTACAGAGTTTCAAATATACCTCATCTCTTCCTCAGAAATAACTCCCAGGTAATTGTGACTAAGGACTAAGAGCCTCGACATGGGGTTTTCCTTCCATCCTGTCCATATCTACATTATCATGAAACCTTTAATCTCCTCATTCATATTTCTAGCTCTGAAGATGTCTTTGGGGAATGTGCAAACTGATGTTTCTGGGTGAGTTCTAAGCAGGATACCAAACACCTATATTTGTGGCTCACATGGAACTGATTTTGAGATTTTTTTTCCTGATTTTGAGATTATGATAGGATTTTTACATGCTAGATTGTGTTATCTCTCCCAAATGCCTTGTAAATGTAACAATTGTTCTTCCGCTATCCATACAATCAATCATTTTCCCCTTCACCCTCATTATATGGATGTCAATCTCAGACATGAGATTCCTTGCTGATACCTACAAGTTCCTTCCTTGGACTCACAGATCTCACAAGGATTTAGATAGGCACTGTAAATGTTGGGAAACCTTCTATAGCTTTCTGTAATACAAGGAGACAGGAAAAAGGAGAAGTTAACACTTGCTAAATATTTAAATGAAGTTAGTCCTTGGGCTGCTACACCATTGGAGAAGGGAGGAACCCAGACATGAATAGTAACATTAACTTCAGTAATATTACTCAGTAGAGAGGAACATCAATTGTTTTGAAAAGTGAAACTTATACAGCGTTTAGGGGCCCCATCTTATTCTTGCAAAATGTACATGTTATGAAGTTTCATACTTAAGGAAATAGGAAATATTAAAGTTTTTATGAGTTCTTTGAAAATTTCGTACAATGTTTTGATTTTATCTACCCCTCCCCACTCATCTTAGATACCTACATGATCAACTTTGTGTCATTTTTGGTTTTATTTTGTTTTAAAATTCATCTCCAAGCCTTTGTAGGAAAGGGATGTGAAACAAACGTGCCATTTACAGCTGAGCATTCCTCAGTCTCTTATTTTCTGAACCTTACCAGTTGTGGATCTCCATGCTAGCAATCATCCATTGCATAAATAATCTTCTCTGATGAGGATTTAGAGATGCATTAATCTGTTGTATAACAAAAAGTCATTAAAATTCAGCTTGTATTTGTATTCCCACCAGCAATGGAGGAGTGTTTCCCTTACCCCTCATTCTCTCCAGTATAAGCTGTCATCAGTGTTTTTTATCTTAGCTAATCTGACAGGTATAAGATGAAATTTCAAAGTTGTTTTGATTTGAATTTCTCTGTAGGTTAAGATGCTGAGTATTTCCTTATCTGCCTTTCAACTATTTGAGATTCATCTGTTGATAGTTCTCTTGAAGTCTGTACCCCGTTTTTATTGGATTTTTTGTTCTTTTGATGTCAAGTTTCTTGAGTTCTTTTTATATTTTACAGATTAGTCTTCTGTCCAAAGAAGAATTGGTAAAGATCTTTCCCCATTCTGTAGGTTGCTGTTTTGTCTTGTACAGCCACTTTGGAAATCAGTATGGCAATTTTTCAGAAAATTAGGAAATAGTCTACTTTAAGACCCAGCAATGTCACTGTTGGGTATATAACCAAAGAATGCTCAATCATACTGCAAGGACAGATGCTCAACCATGTTCATAGCAGCATTATTTGTAAGAGCCAAAATCTGTAAACAGCCTAGATGACCATCAACCAAATAATGAATAAAGAAAATGTGGTACATTTACACAATCGATTATTACACAGTGTTAAAAAAGATGACATCTTGAAATTTGCATACAAATTGATAGATTGAGGGAAAAAACATATTGAGTAAGATAACTCAGATCTAGAAAGACAAATATGTACTCACTCATAAGTGGTTTCTATACATAAAGCAAAGAAAAAAACAGACCTACAGTCCACAACTCCAGACAACCTAGACAACAGAGGACTCTAACAGAGACATACATAGATCTACATAGGAAAGAGTGAAAGACAAGATACCCTCAGTAAATTAGGAGTATGGAGGTCATATAAGAGGGTAAGGAAAAGGGAGGAAGGGATAGAAGCAGAGAACTGTATAGCTCAATTAAAACAAAAAAAGAATAAAGTCAGCTTAATACAATGTCCATTTAGAAGAATAGTAATAATTTTTCCCTTAGGGTCAATGACCTATTGTTTCAGGATAGGTACATAGCCTCAGTAATAATCCTAAGTTTTATATTGTAAAGCAGGACATAAATCCAATCAGAAAGTGATTGATTACACCCATGGTATTTGAGCAGCTATTGCACCAGTGGGCATGTCTTTCCAGGAGCATCATTATTGTAGTTTATAGGGATAACAACTTGGTAAGACTGATTATTACTTTTCTCTTTCAGTAATAAGCATAGTGCTTTGCATAACTATGATAGTTAGGTAGTAGAGATAAATCTTCAGGGTTGATAACAAATTTCTCAGTGTTCTATGACTCAGGTGTATGGTATCTTCAGCAATAGGGTCTTATTATTAAGTTATAGAGAGCAAACAAGAACACTGGAAAATAGCTGCTTGGGGACTATGGAATCTCACTTGTCAACAACTCCAAAGAGGTAAGCCATGAGAGCACTGGACTTTTTATTTGTTATTGTGTGATGTCTAGTAATAACAATGTTTCACTAGTATAGTGTAACTCCATTGTAAAATATTTTTCTGTATATCTGTCTGGAAACTTTTACAGTAGTGGGTTTCTTATGACTTTTCTGATGGTCATTAGAGGCCTATAGAACACCAAACATAGAAAATCAGAAAAGCAATTATCCATGGCATATCATAGTTAGAACATTAAAAACACAAGCTACAAATGAGAAAGCTTATATTGGTTAAAAATTATTCACTCTGTAAGGTTGGTGGTCTCCGCTGATCTTCAGTATACTCTGTAATTCCAAAGATGTAGGCTCTAATGCCACTGAAGAAATAGACATCACAGCTAGTGAAGGCAAGCAGGCAAAGAGAAGCTTCCTTCTTCCATGTCTTCTATACAGACTACCAGCAAAAGAAGGGACCTAGATCAAACATGGATGTTACCACCTCAAAAGATATAAAAAAAGAGTGTGCCTTCCCATGTCAAAGAATGTATGAATAAAAAAAAATCTACACAGCCACTTGGACTTTAGTTAATTCCAGGTGTAGTCAAATTGGAAACCAAGAATAGCCATCAGAAATGTCAAGTAACATACAAAGAAAAGTGATTACGAACTGGATTATTTGACAGAAATGTTTAAATCAGAAGTGCCTAGAGAAATATACTCCAATTCCTGAAAGGCTACAACTATCAACTGTAATTATTCTACCCAGTAAAACTGTATTTAAATTGAAATGATTGCAAATCTTCAAGCAAAGAAATATATAGATAGGTTGCTGTTTTAAGATCACCATTACAGAAAGACGTTTTAAAAAAGATCACCATTAGGTGGGTAATGGATGTAAAAGAATCATAAACAGAAAACTGTGATAAAATCCATAATGATCTGAATCAGTATGGTGAGTCCATCCGTATTCTAAGTGGTGTGGGATTCCTATATAACCCTAATGCAAATACTAAATAATGAATATACTTACAGTTGAATGAGTCAAAAAGATATGCGTTCTCTCCAAGGAAGTTAGAAAGGTGTTTTGTAGTCTCTTCCTGGCTCAGGGAACTGACTTTAAAGACACAAGTATGTTCGTGAATGAACATGTCTGTCTGTCAGGAACACATGGCAATGTCTGCTAATTTGTTCCTCTAAAATTGAGAGGATTTTGTAGGGAGAAGACAAACTTGACTGACCATTAATGGCAAAAAGAGAGGCACTGTGATATTTCAGGGATACAGAATCCTGTGGAAGGATTAGGCATGGCAACAGACAAGGGTTCTTAAAACAAGTTCTTTAAGAGTGAGAGAAATGAGCTGGTGTGATGACAGGAACCTAAATGAGCGCAGGAGGTGAATGGAGTAATGATACCAACATGCCCACTTGCGTCTCCCTGAACAGTATCGATACCTGGGGACAGCAACACAAACAATTCAGGATGGGACTTTTTAGAGTTCATGTTAAAATGAAAGGAGAAACATGGAAGAACTGAGTCTACCCTCTGTCTGGCTTGATCAGAGAATTGACATGGTCCCCACAGAGGGTACCAGGAGGAGCTTTGGGAGGTTGTGAACAAGACCTAATTTACTTGCAGAGAGAAGTTAACCTTTTTTTCCCTAACCACTCTTGTGTTTGTTTTCTGGTAATTTCCTGCTTCCTACTTCCTCATTTCTGTAAGGGCAGTGACTTCTTCTCAACCTCCTCTATCTAAACTTCCTCACGATTTTTTGTAGTACCTTTTCTGTCTTGACTGTGGGAGACACTCGTTGCTCACATTGTAGATTCTGTCTCAGTGCTCAGGACACTAATACTCACTGGAACAAATATATTTATTTCCATGTAATATATGAAGGATAACATTTACAAATATTCAGTCTCAAACAGGTAATGGCCTCCCTTAGAGTAGGGTGAAGGTAATGTGCTTTCTCACAGTGTAAGGATCAGTCATTCAAGAAACTTGGAAGGCTTTAAATCTAGATTGCATTCCTCAGAATAATAAATGGATGGTTAATAAAAAATTAATAGTACATGAAAAATCCATATAGAATTTTGTAAACTAATTAAAATATTGAAAGCTAGATGGAATGGAATAAACTTGCATGAGTAAATAATGCTGCTCTCAGAAGTCAAAGATAGTTAAATGAAAATCTCAGTGCCAAGCATAAGATACTTCACTCCAGTTGTTGATCACAGAGGCCCCTGGGCCTACCAAGGTTCAGAAAACAACATC